GTATTTAATATTTGATCGATTCTCAATAAACCCATTATTGTCCCGACTGTTAGCAATCTCTACCAGGCAACCTTTGGCTAAATGAAACCACACCATGAAAATAGAAGAAACTGCGGGCTAGTGCATTTTAAAAATAAATAAACGTAAATTTAAAAATATAAAAATACAAAGTCACTAACAGATAAAAAGAAAAAGATCAGACAGAGTCCGGCTTCAGGTAATATTCCTTAATTTTAATAGTAAAGGAGTCCCTCGTCTGTGCACGTTTAATATACAGAGGTAAAGAGTTCCACAATTTAACAGCTCTTACATAGAATGACTTGGCTACGAAATCAATGGAGTGGGGTGGGATAACTAAGGATATGTTATGAGAAGACCGAAGATCACGGACAGGATTAAAATAATGAAAAGTGAAATGCTCCTTAAGATAGAGAGGAGTGTGAGGATGAAAAAGGATAGTATAAAGGAGTGATAGGATGTGGCAGTCTCTTCTACGAGAAATGGGTAGCCATTAAAGTTGGGAACGATAATGAGAGATACCGGTAAAATGGTCCTACTTTGCTCCAATATTTGCTCCAAAAAAAGAGAATTATGAATATTGTTTACACTATTAATTATGATATATATTCAGATGTATTAATTTGAAGAAAAATATGTCATCTAACATATTTTTAAAGTTAAATCAACGTAATGATGTATTTCATAACATATATAAAACTATGAATACTTTGCTCCTGGGTATATTCCACAAAACAATCTCCATTGTAGAAGCTTTTTGAGCAAAGTTATGCTTTCCTTAATCAAACTATGCTCCAGTAATATTACGCTTTACCTTTTTTGATAGTATCAATGGTCGAAAAATAGGTAAAACTTAAGATAAACCGTGATTTGAAAGAAATAATGTTATATTCTTAAATTTAGTTACAAAATGACTTTGTATCATTAGGTTTTTTTTAAATTCTTAAAGTATAATAGGCACTACTATCTTAACCAGAAACATTGTTTACAAATGCTGGACAAAAATCTGTCGAAAATAAACTAACGAGATAATTAAATAATACAAAAAAAAAACCCCAAGCCCTAACGGCTTGAACAGAATATATTTCACAGCGGGTACTAATTTTTTTAGGTTATTTTTGTAATTTCCTTGATCTAAAGTGTATTAACCACTTACAATGAATAAAAAATGTTTTATTAAGACCAACTCAGCAATCCAATGAAATATTTACGTATTCGTTTACCTAATAAACCCTAATGCATTATGCAGATTTAAAGATAGAACTGGCTTTTTCGGATACAAAAAAAAAACTTTTAAGGTCTTACACTACAGCTACACCTCACTTATGAAAACAATTGCGGATGAAATTTTTTACAGTTCAGTGTTGCCACTTATAAGTAAGATGTGTCGGGTGCATTCACAGTTAAACAAAATGTTGCACCGATTTGGACATATTAAGCGATAAAACATTTTAGAGAATTGGAGCATAATTACCCTTATAGGAGCAAAGTAGGAACATGTTATGGTATGGTCGTACTTACGCAGACCGAAAATGAATGACTGTGCAAGAGAAATTTTAGTCTTGGTCGGTAACGGGTTTTTCAGGCGTTTCAGCGAGCCATACGCGCCAAATACCCTCCTACTAACTTCACCAACATTTTTCAGCTTTTGTTGATTCTGGCATTATACCAATGGCTTGCAATAATTATAGCCTGAGTTTTGCGCGGGTTAACCAACAGACCGTGTCGCCGACTCCAGTCAGATATGTGCTCCAGGTCATTGTTGGTAACTGCGATGGCTGTAGGTAGTTCATCTATAGAAGTTTGAGTATATATTTGGAGATCGTCTGCATACATATGATAGGACGAAGAGAGAGGAAGAGTTATTGAATTTATGAATATAGAGAAGAGAAGAGGAGACAAAACGCCACCCTGCGGAACGCCGACTGTTGTATCGCACCATGATGAAAAATATCCATCCACGCATATGCGCTGCCGCCGCCCATACAAGTAACCATTAAACCAATCAATCACTGGTGGAGATACATTGAAAGAAACCAACATTGCCAATAAGATATCAAAATCAACCATATTAAATGCGTTACTAAAATTTAACAGCATTAATACAGTGAGCTGCCGATTATCCATACCCACACTATATCATATAGTGTGGGTATGGATAATCGGCATCTTGTCTTTACAAGTGCAGTAGTCGTACTATGACCGGGACGGAAATCGGACTGAAATGAATTTAGAAGATTATTATTAAAGGAATAATATTAGCTTCTTTCCATGCCGATGGATAAACTACCCAAGCCTGGTTTGAAACCAACGTGACAACAAGACTGGCCCTCATCTAGCCCAGACCTCAACCTTTTGAACTTCAAATTATGGTCAGATTTAGACCTGTCTGCTCTTTACGACACGGCGACATTGAGTCTCTTAAAAAATCTTTGGAGCAAGCAGTGGCGAAATTTCTCCTGGGAAACACTGCGTAAATCCATATATTCCTTTCCAAACAGATTAGAGGCCTGTATAAAAGTCAAAGGTGGCCATTTGAAATATATCATATTTTTTACATTACTTCATTAAAAAAAAGGATTTTCATTTGCATCACAAACAACATTTATTTTCAAGAACATTCACGGATTAACATAATTCCACATGTCGTTGATTATACTACACTTTTTAGTATAGTAAGGATGACTGTTACATTAAAGTTCTAAATGGCATTTAAACCTGACCCCAAATACGTGATTATCACCCCTATTCCGTTAATTCTTTCAAATGACATTGAATTGACATCGATCTTTAATTTATTAGAACCTCAACGGCCGCACTCAGAGATTTCTTTTGATTCATTAGTTTTTATGCTGTATGTTTGCGATATCTATAAAAAGCCAATACGTCATTTTGACAATCAATCATTAAATGAACAACTTTGAGTGTGACCGTTAATTATCTTAACAGCAATATAATAGTTAAACATAAATCCCTTATTACAAAACGTGGACTTAAGGTTATCTTGTATTTATAAACCTGATGCTTCTTCTGCCTTCTCATTAAAAACTAAAAGTGACAATATCATCTTTAGATCGATTTTTACTAAGTCATCGTTTTATAATAGGGATGTATAAATAATTTCAACATCAATTTAATAATAAAATTATACTACACATTTTAGAGTAGTGAGGATGACTGTTACATTAAAGTTCTAAATGGCATTTAAAGCTAACATCAAATACGTGATTATTTGACATAATTAACGGAATAGGGGTCTATTCCGTTAATTCTTTCAAATGACATTGAATTGACATCGATCTTTAATTTATTAGAACCTCAACGGCCGCACTCAGAGATTTCTTTTAATTCATTAGTTTTATGCTGTATGTTTGCGATATCTATAAAAAGCCAATACGTCATTTTGACAATCAATCATTAAATGAACAACTTTGAGTGTGACCGTTAATTATCTTAACATCAATATAATAGTTAAACATAAATCCCTTATTACAAAACGTGGACTTAAATTAATCAATCTTGTATTTATAAACCTGATGCTTCTTCTGCTTTCTCTTTAAAAACTAAAAGTGACAGTATCATCTTTAGATCGATTTTTACTAAGTCATCGTTTTATAATAGGGATGTATAAATAATTTCAACATCAATTTAATAATAAAATTATACTACACATTTTAGCATAGTGAGGATGACTGTTACATTAAAGTTCTACATGGCATTTAAAGCTAACACCAAATACGTGATAATCATCCCTATTCCGTTAATTCTTTCAAATGACATTGAATTGACACCGATTTTTAATTTATTAGAACCTCAACGGCCGCACTCAGAGATTTCTTTTTAATTCATTAGTTTTTATGCTGTATGTTTGCAATATTTATAAAAGGTCAATAGTAACTTTGACATGCATTAAATGAACAACTTTGAGTGTGACCGTAATTATCTTAACACCAACATAATACATAGTTAAACATGAATCCCCTTATTACAAAATGTGGATTTACGTGAGGTGTTTTTTAGAATTTTCTGTCCCTCTCTCTACCCCTGGTGAGATGTCGTGAGATTTTATTAAACCCCCTCCCACATCTCCCACCCTCACGTGAGATTTTTCAAAATGTGGGTTTCCTATGTAAACGCGTTGGATTATTATTGTAAAAAGAAAAAAAAATGCTTCGTGCTTTTATTTACGACTAGTTAAGACGAATAACCAATATTGCTGTAAGTTCTTAGTGTAATAAAAAAATTAAATTGTGCTATTTAGTATAAACCAAATATGGTGGTTTGACAGTCGGTATATGTATAACGTCGGAGTATGAATGAAATTATTTCCTTTCGAACGAATTAGTGAATGATCTTAATCGTATTACGATAAAGCTTAAGATTAAATCTTAAGCATGTACAATCTGGATTAAATGGATCAAAATAGATTTTTTTTTGTTTCAGTCAGAAAAAAAATTGCGTGATTTTTGCGGAGACCCCCCTCTCCAACGTAAGATTAGATGAGATGTGACTCGACCCCCTGCCCCCCTTAAACATCTCACGTAATTTATGGACGCACCCTTAGGTACTTGTATTTATAAATCTGATTAAAGCTAACACCAAATACGTGATAATCACCCTTATTCCGTTAATTTTTTCAAATGACATTGAATTAACATCGATCTTTAATTTACTAGAACCTCAACGGCCGCACTCAGAGATTTCTTTCAATTTATAAGTTTTTATGCTGTATATTTGCGATATATATAAAAAGTCAATACGTCACTTTGACAAGCATTAAGTGAACAACTTTGAGTGTGACCGTTAATTATCTTAACACCAATATAATAGTTAAACATTAATCCCCTTATTACAAAACGTGGACTTAACGTCTTTCTACTTGGTCTTAGGTACTTGTATTTAATTTAATAAACCTGATGCTTTTTCTGCCTACTCATTAAGAACTGAAAGTGACAGTATCAGCTTTAGATAGATTTTTACTAAGTCATCGTTTTATAATAGGGATGCATAAATAATTTCAACATCAATTTAATAATTAACTTATATCAACTATAAGTAGCCATTAATACCTATGCACATGTACTTTAACAGATAAACGCTGTCATGTCATTCTTTATTGTACTTTAAAATTCAGTTAAAAAATCTGAAATCCTACCACTTAATCTGTATTAGTACATTTCTGCATAATTAATGGCAAGGATTTGGAAATCACTTATTTTTATTGATTTCATTAATAAAATTTTAATTTCCTGAGCACTGCCAATTTGCAATTTAAGTCAGTACACGTATGCTAGGTAGGTACTTTTCAAAGGTACAGGTTTTTGTTTTCGAAACAAAGTAATAATCGATCATAAACATTTTCTTTGTCTGATTGAGAGATAATAACACGCTTTAGTATTTTAATTAATAATCAACCACATAGTCATAACAATACTATGAGATGGCAGTAGAAAAATTAATAGGTTTCTTAACACAAACTAATTGCCCCTTGAGCGATAGATTAGTAAAGGACCTTTTAAATAGATAACAAATATTATATTTTATTTGTAAGATCTAACATAATCTTTATTCGATCTGGTAAACCTACAATACAGGTAGGTGAATTGACCAAATATTTAGTCAATAGAAAGATATAATTAAATAATCACTAACCTCAAGGACGAAAATAGTAATATTTCCAAAAGTGACTGAAATTCTAAGTTAAAATAGTGTCAATTTAATTATACAGTCGAGTTCAACTGAATATTTTATTAATACGGAATAAAAAGCATAACACAAGCAGTCTTTTAGATGCAGATTTAAGCTTTCAATTTCAACGGTCATCACTATTTAGGAGTTAGATACAGTGACTGTTAAGTCATGCATGATATATTTAGTTTTAATAACATTTTTATGTATTGAACAACATAGAGCACTAATATAAGAAGCATTAAATTACACAAATGTGGCACGGGTACGCCTATGTGGCCTCTAAAATTATTCAAAATATTTACAAATAAACCTTAAAAATAAGTGTCTGGCATGACACACTCATACAAAAGATTAAGATAAAAATAATCAAAATTAATATCACAGCAAATTAATCGAATAACGTCACGATCACAATCTAGACATTTAGCCATCCTTCGAACCTCAGCGCGCCGGCCGGTGCGGCGTGTGGCAGCGCCGGCGGCGGCAAGCAGCCATCTGCAACGACGCGCGGCTGCGAGACCGAGACACCGATCTTCATCCTTACACTTGGAATGCCATAGCAGCTGAAGTACCCTCTCCCGCATCCAAATTGACTGGTTTTTCTGGCAAAGGGCGATTGACCATTTTCCCAGAAGAACCGGAACTAGTTGAAGGACTCAGCAATGGGCTAGTAGCGAAGCTGTTCGTGGGGCTTGAAATCGGAGTCTTTGAAATACTGCTGAATGATTTAGACGACGGTGATTTAGATGATGATGATTGAGGAGAAGAACCGGGGCTGGAGTTCTTCGCGTGGATGGCGCGTAGATAGGGTCCCCTGGGTACGACTTGCTCGACGATGTCAGGAATATTTCCAAGCAGAGATCGCTTTTCTTTATCACAGTTAGCTATTTCTGCATATAAATGCACAGCAAAATCCTTAGGTTCGAAGTACTCATGAGCTAATGCGGTCTGTCTATTATACGGTGAGAGAGGTGCCAGTTTATCCAAAGACGGTGTCTTTGTTCCAATGCTTATCATTTGCTTCTTGTTCTTCCCAATTCGTGGTGTAGTATTTTGGAATGGTAAATCATAAATATTTTCTTCGGCTTTTGAGACGGTTAAATTATTGGTGTTGCAGCTTTCTTCAACCTTAATAAGTTCATATAGATGTTCTATCATTTCGCGAGCCTCCACATAATTCTCAGGATCTTCAAGCTTTTCTTTTAAATTTTCTAGTAGCTCTTTTGTTAATTCTTCGGGCAGAGTCTGTGTAGCCTTGTCATCCATCGGTGTAGCGACTTCTTCAGAATACACAGGTGGCGCGGTTAATACAAGAGGAATCTCTTGAACACGTGGTTCGTTCAGACATCTACGTTCCGAATATTCATTAACTGAAAATCGGGATATAGAAAGTGCGTTATCCAGTCCATTATTTCTCCCACAAACACACAATCTCTCACAAAGTGAACCACACGTAGAGTTTGATGACATTAAAAAAATCTTAATATTCGTACAGTATCCTCGCCGTTTCATACAACGGATGAAGCTTATGAACATAACTATAATGACACATCCTAAAGCAGTGACTATGACAATTCCAATGACTTTTTTATCTTTATCTGATAAAGATTCTTCTTCTTTCTTATGAGGAAATCTTGGATTTTTTATTTCTGTTGGTTTTCCTCCTGTCTTTGTTTTATACTTTTCACATTGAATGCTTAATTCACTACTGCATACTACATCGGTAAATTTTTTGAAAAGAAGATTTTGCTCTGGTTCATTAAAGCATCGAGCAAAAAATTCATCTACAGTACAATAGCTCTCCGTCTCATAGGGTTCTCCATTCGGAGATCCCATAGCTTCAGCAAGCCATAAGCTTATGTTACAATGGCACGGAACTCCATAATAATTGTTTTTGTAGACCACGTTTACAGCATATCGGCTACTATAAACTTGTCCTATAAATCCCAGACTATTTGTGGCTACGCTTTCTATTTCATTTTCCACGAAAAATAATTCGTGTACTATATTAGTAGGAGCAATTATGGCATTTGCTGCCATTGAGTCAAATTTGTTGTGTCCCATATACAATTTATTCCATGACGATAATTCGAAGCCCCTTGCCATGAATGTGTGAAATTCGCTATCTGCAATTCTCACCGACGCAACTGTCGCATTGATGGCTCCAGGTTCGATGAAATCAAATCTGGAAACAGATGAGATGACGTTTTATTTTTAATTCTTTTTAGTATCTCATGATCAAACATATAAATTTCATGAACTTTTTATGTTAGATTGTCATTAAGCAGAAATATATTATGTGTAAGTCTTTCTACGGGTACATAGGAATTAGATTTTTTTAGGATAAGCGGGTTTGATTCCGGGTTCAGACAATCGATTATTTTAAATATTTGAACGCAGTTTTTATTGTTTTTAAAGTAAAAATGAAGTCTTCATTTAGGAAAAAAATCTATCTATAGTTATTAAAGTACTTTCCCTCCACGTGAGAGAGTTTTGGGATATACAGGATATCCATTTAAATATCTTTGAACGCAATTGGTTGCAGCGCCCACTGGCGTTAAAGAGAGTTAAATAATGAAATAGCATAATGTACTATCAAAATTATACTATTGATTCTTATTTAATAACTTTACTTCTTGAGTGTTTTTTTTTAAACTCGACAGCTGCTGTTATGCTATGGTATTGCAGTACTGCTGCCGAGTTTAAAATAAACAAAAATATATGTATATTATCCGATTCTGTGATGTTCGTTGATAGCAAATATTCCATTTATAGTTGCAATCTAAGCTATCAAATATTCAGATCTAAAATGTAAACCGTAGTTGAACATACCTGCTATTAGCTATATCAAGTTTTGTGACAGCAGACTGCAGCGCCTTAGAGCGCAGATGGTGTAATTTACAACCGTGGAATTGTAAACTATTTATCAGAGAATTCTGGGCAAAAGCTTCTCCTTCGATGTAATCAAATGAGCAGTCGGTAGCCTTGACAACGTTGTAGGTATTGGCTGAGAAGGCAAAGGCTCGTACAGCGCCTATCACCACTGAGTCCATCAATATTTCAGCTGCCGACGAGCCGAATGTATTTGCTGGAAATTCGGGTACCGTGGCATTCCTCAGTTCGATCTGAAATCCATATTACATCCCATATTTTGATTCTATTATACATAAATTATGACCATATTCATTTTCCACCGATAATTAATCTATAAACAGATTGATTCTTAGAATATATTATAAACATATTCTTATAATCTAATAAAATGCGAGAGCAATATATTATTTAGTTTCGCGTTGCAAGAATTCGCAATGCAATGACAAATTATTTAGTATTTGCTTAATGATATACATATTTGGTAATATTTTTATTTATATCCTTTTTGTGCTAATGTACTGACCGACATGCCTGGACCATGCTCCCCTACGTTGGCAGCGGTGGGGTCTAAGGTGAAAGTGCCAGTGCTTAAGCTCAGGTTCTGGGCGTTGCTGATGCTGATCTTCAGGAGCCAGGAGAAAGCGTCGCCTTCCATCGACACGTAATCGCAATTATTAATAGTAACTGTCAGCGGGCCTGAAATGAAATGCAAATGATAATTGCAATTATTCAATGTTTTTCTTATGTTACTAATGATTACTACAAGTGAAAGCAGTTTTATCGAAATGATTTTAGTTTGTTTTTATTGTTTTTAACATTTTACATATTACTGTATTTTTGCAACGATCATGTTATTAATATGCTTAAATTTATAAGTGCCGAGCTCTTTTATCACACCTTTAACTAAAATCATCTCGCAGTGATATGTAATAAGTAACATATTAACATAACACAACACCTATGCCATAACATAAATATTCATCAGCCTTGAGAACAGCTGAATCTATTGATTTTCTAATAATGACATTCAGGACAAGTCGTTTCAGTTTAATATTATCATATGTTAATAAATTGCATTTTATGATATCATTTATAAGAAGTTGTTCTTTAAGCTGATAAAAGGCAGTGAAATATAACAAAAGGACAATGTTAAAATTGGCCCAAGAACCAACACCAATTTGGCATTTATGATAATTCTTAGTATATTTTTTGCGATAATTATCAGTATTTAGATTTTGACGGACACTTCCAGTTAAGTAAGCTAAATTAAAAAGTTAAAAAATTATCTGATACAATAAATACCATTTTATGTGTATAATCTATGGCAGCGCTGCAAACAAAACACTCTTTCTTCCTAATGCCGGCACTTCACTTGGCTATTCGTATTTGCTATTTTAAAACATGACAGCAGTCTGTCCTTTTCATTCCTTATTAAGCATGATAAGGACAAACTGTGGTCAAGTGAAGGGCCGGCATAAAACTTATTATTCTGTGGTTGTGGTGCATGCAAGCAAAGACTTTATATAATACCATGCAGGTTGCATTCGTAGTAATCTGTGGCATTCGTGCATTCCAAAGAGTAGTATAATACCTATACCGGAAAGTGCATTCTCGTTTCGGATTACCTGTTGTGTGTGTTTATTTGCATTGTTTTGCCTTAATTTAACTATTTCGGCTATCTAATATGCCATCGATGTTACCAAAGAGCAGAGCCCCTTATTACCACGTGCTAGTGAACCTGTGCCACAACATCCTGAGAGGATCATACTGCCAAATTATTCAAGAACACCTGATACACATTCACGCTGCATATTTACACAACTTACATGTGATATACAAATAAATACAATAAAGAATATGATACAATTATGTGAAAAATAGTCAATAATTAAGAAGCAAAACTACAGTTTTTATTTTATTCATGATTCCTACCTTACCAAATTTTCCTAATAGTTGTTATTCTTTAAAATCGCACCAAATAAAATGAATTAGGTGTTATATTAATTCACTTCATACTGAGTTCATAATAAATTCACAGGTTGACCTATGTTTCATTGAATATTAAACATAACCTCAAAAAAAATTTAGTTTTCCTAATAATTTAAGTTCTCAGAAGTGTCCGTCAATAATCTTTGTTTTTACAGTCATTTACTTACGATTTTGAAACTAGAAAATAATATTTCATGATTGTTGGTTCTTAGGCTAACTATGTATGGACGCTGAACAATGTCCTTTGGTTGTCTATTATTAACATTAGCAAAACATAAGTAAGCCGTGCTTAACATAGAAACAAGGAAAATGAAAACATGGTACACAATATGATGATAATTCGATCTAAATACATACGACATGCAATTTATAAAATATAACTAACTCGTAAATAATAATTCCCGTTGTCAGTAAGATTTGCGTGTAATTATAATACACAGACACGATAAAAATATTTAAACACCACCACAACACACTCTTTCTGCTTTGTTGATGAAACTAAAGATTCATCTAAGTAGTGCGATGCACCAATAACCTGCTCAGCAAACACTCGCCTATTGTCTAAGACACATTCAAGCTCTTGTACTGCACTTTCGCCTCGCCATGAGTCATTATCCTGCCCGTGGAACACGAATGCCAAGTCGGGGAGACGACTATTTTTAGATGGTGATCCGTGGACGGACGTTGCGGTACCGGCTACCGGCTTTTCAGTTCTCTTCTATTTGCTTACCTATAAGGTTATGCCATATATGGGAATGCCGTTGTTTGATTAATGCAACAACTTCGAGTCCCGTCCGCTGCCTGGTCCGCGTGGATTTTTTCTAGTAAGCTTTTCTTTAGATTTAAACATCTAGCAGTTGAATGCTTAAAAAGTGGATAAAATCATAACAATGCAACAACTGTTATTTTTAATTTCATGTCACTCCATATGACGCGCCTAGTCATATAGAATTCTGGAATTGCGTTATGCATGGTGATTTTATTACAATAGAAAATAATTGAATATTTCTTTTGTTGGGAATCAGCCCTAATTATATGTTTTCTTAGCTACTCCTATTTATTGTATTTGTTAAGTCTAACAAAACCAGGTCCAGGTTCAAGTCAAGGTTTCCGTGAATTCTTAGGTAGGTACTTGGATATCTGTAATAAGGATATGAAAGTCTTTTCATTTACTTCTCAACCGCCTCTAGCTTGGCATTGTTTATCTCTATATTTCACGAAAAACTATTTGTAAATCTATCTAACGACTTGAATATTGTCCTACATTTTTTCATTTTGGGTGTTTTGGATGAACCCAGTTCCTGACCAGATGTTTTTAAATAAGCGGCGTTTCACAATCTCTCATCATTTCTAAGTAGTGTAGTTGGTGTCGATTATTATCAGAATTCATAGCAGATTTTTTCTGTGATTAACAGCCCTATTTTGCTAATGACATTATTTTTCGCGGAACTTTGGTTAGTACCAGTTTAGTCACTTATTGCTAATTATATATCATTTTGTGCGCACAGTTACCAATATATTAATTACGTGTTAATTAGGCTCTTGTTACAATATTATTGTAATTATTCGTCCCGACGTCCCGAGCATATTGTTTTTTTTTTACATTAAATAGGCTTACTCTTTACGGCCTCGCGCCTGATGAAGAGCGACGTAGCAGCCTAAGGTGGGACGCGCTTGCCTAGAAGAAACCGATTCACTCGCTACTTGAAGAGCCCTAGATTATAGGTGACGGGATTCGGAATCCGGCAAAGAGTTCCACAACCTAGCTGTTCTAACGATATAGGTGGAAGCAAACCGTTTAGTACGAGTTTACGGGACCTCTACGGTACATCTGTGGCGTTTTGCCGTCTCTCTGGTAGTTCTGTGGTAAAAAGGTGAAGCTGGAATTAGGTTATGTAACTCCGAAGCACACTCTCCGAAATGTAACCATAATGTAATTCATAGTTGAAACACAACCGAGCCCACAAACACAAGCACCGAGCGAAGTTAAACATAACACATGGTATTACGTGGCCTTTTAGCGTTTGTCATAGGCACATTCTTGTAACTGTCGACTGATCATAAAATTATTTGTTTTGCATTAAACCTTGCACCTAATTGTAGGATTAGAAAGAGTTTTATATTTAAACGCATTTACCATTTTTTTTGTGATTACATCAAGAACGTCGTGTATGATCGGAAAAGTTCGGTTCTGTAATAAATAAATTAAAATTATATAAAGTATACAAGCTTACGTTTTCAATGAGTTTACATTTAGATTCTTTTTTCTAATAGGTAAGTACTCAAAGTTGGAGGTTAGGTATAAATATTTTTAACACGTTTTTATTAGGTCGACTTGTAACGAACTAACTATGTAATAAAATCGAAGTATCTGAATTACAAGAACTTCTAATTCTTGTATTTTAACTCATAAGCTGCAGTTGAATTGCGGCGTGCGTCATTGCAGCAGCCTCTTTCCACATGTCTTAACGCCGGTGTCTGCCACTTGTGACACCATTAGACTATTCCATAAATAGATATATTTTATATCTATTTCATTATGATTATACTATTGTTTATTTTGTTAAAATAAATTATTTTTGCCACTATTTATTTACTAAACTATTTCTTTAATTGCTATAACTACACATTATTTCATTCTGCAATAGAGATAAGAATCGTAGTATCAACTTTTAACATTGTGACATTGATGGTTAACTTCTTGAAATGCTTACGAAGATTTATTTATTAGTTTTAACTTACAGCATTTGATCGGGTCGCTGTTTTACATGTGGGACATTGTGCATTCGGTAGGTAGAGTTTATCAGTGGGTTATAGCTGACGTTTCGGTGAATGCCAGCGGAGGCGCGCACGCGCATGCGGGTCGCTTCCCATGCACCCGGCCCGCTCTCAACCATACCGGCACACAATAGAGAAGCTGATAACGATTCTAATGCCAGACTCATTGACAATATTGACATATAACACTGTCTGCATTCAATACAGTACGAAGTACGCTCCTTATATACCCACTGCGCAATATTGCTGTAATAAAGTTAAATTTTTATTTCCTATATGGATTGAGGATTTAAAATCACAGCTCTGCGAAAATGAAGTTCTAAGAAGGCTATTTTGTAACACGTACTCGCAATGAAATTAATTTTGTGATCTTCATATTTTGTATTATCATTATACTTCTGATATTTCAGATTGAAAAATTTCAAACAGTATATTTCAAGTGGAATATATATACTGAACTAGTATAATATTAAGTTTAGGTAACGTAATGTCAATGTTATATAATTTCATAAAATAAAATACCTACAGATATCCAGGAACTTTTATTGGCGTGAATCACGGGCACGGGTAATATGTGTAGTCTTTTTAGTAATTGCAGTACTACCACGATTACTTCAAATAGCATAATGAACGGAGTCCATCTATTCGAAATTGAACGACGACGACCCGATAATCGGGCCCATCCGGTGTCCGACCAGATGGGCCGCAAACCGACGGAACCGGTTGCCAGTAGAAAACCTCTGGTTACATTTACATTGCTGCTTCATAGTTTCGTCAGCTGACCACTAGCTGCTTTACACTGGCCGTCTGCATATCATTATGTGAATGTGTCGAGGAACCGCTACACGTGACGTTACGAAGCATGCACCGCGGGTGCATCGAACGTAACAACTCTGAATAAAAAACATTATTATGCGGACCTATTACATATAACGGATATTGTCATAGATTCATCGCTAATTAGGATATTAACGACCGGGCCCTTCCATTCACGTATGTTCTAGCTGTTGCCTATTTCGCTTTACATATTAACATAAGGACCGAAACCACAGAATATATACACTACGCGAAAAGAAGCGACACTTAAGCATGTGTGCTCGTAAAATCGCCCGCGGCTATGTGTGGGTGTCTGGAGGTGTGCGGGGGCGTTGCGCGGCGCGCGGGGCGTGGAGAGGGCAGTCGCCGACTGCCTCGACCGAAGGGATGGCAGTAGCGAAATAGTAAAATAATAGCGTTGCACTGCATTGCACGCACAGACTGACTACGCTACGATATCTTATTATTATTTAGATAATAATAAGAATTATAAAACGAATCGAAAAAGGAGAAAATATATAAAAGTTAGCAATTTGTTATAGTACCTACATTAAAAGATTAAAAATTGATTATAAAATCAAACCTATCCTTCATTATTTACCCCAGTATCCTTGAATCAGTTTACATTTAATAACTTACTATGCATAAATATTCATTGGCACAAGTCTAAATTCCAAGTTCAACCCTAGCGCATACACGCTCCTGCTCAAGGTCACTGACGCTGGAACTCTCACGTACACAGAGTGTCACCGCTGTGCCGAAACTGCGATATCGTAATCGCATCACGCGCGCTCATTCGATGACGATACGTTGCCATGCTGCTTACCACGGGAACCTTGTGGATCGCCATATATAACTATATATCTATCGTCCAATCATTGCTAACGTTTGTAGAATATTGATTAGCCGACAAAATCAAAAAGAAAAGCTTTTCAGTATGCAACAATCATATTATAGTCAATACTACAATTCGGCCCCCTATTGATTACGTTATTTTATGTCTAACGTGTCTGTCGTTAATTTATGTTTTGTTTTTTCCTAAAAGATTAAGAATAATCAATTTTGGGAATCGAGGAGTTCTCTCACAATTTAGCATTGATATTGGTATAGCTTAGATTGTTCAGCTATTTCGTAAATCGCGCAGCATAAATATGGTAGACAAGCGAAATAATACAGAGAAAGTTGACTTGCGCAATGCTAAGTCGCGATCTCGCAGTGCATATCGTAAAGTGGATGTGGGCATACCTCTGATGTTGCTGAACGTTTTTTCTTCAATCCTGAGTTCATGGCAGTTGTCGATCTCGAGGAAGGCATTAACGACATTGAGATTGGTGGCGGTGCCGCGGCGTAGCACCACGAGCTGCGCGCCCGACAGGCGCACTCGCCGCAGATCTTTGAGCCGCGACAGTGAGTTGGCACCCAACGTGATCGCCTCACACCCTTCCAGCAGCAAGTCCGAAGTCATCTCCGGCAAGTCACCTTCCAGAATATTCAACTTCTGAAACGAAAAATAAATAGAAACATTCTAAGACGCATACAAACAACAGAATAATAACAAGTCAAGATAAGACAAGTGTATTACTCATTCAGGGACGTTTGTTTGTTAAAATAATTGTCAATCTAGCCATTTTATCTTTAGTGTTCTTAATTTATGTAGTGACTAACAATTGGTATTTAGTTAGACATTAATTTTTGGAAACGTTACGTTATTCATAAAAGTGAGTAATAGTAGGAGATCCGAACTAAGAACGATCTTCACCGAGCTGATAATAGAATGAATCATATTTTATAACAAATTTAGTATGTTAGAAAATATGTTGAAAATGGGTTGCCTAAAAAATCCTGGACAGACAATTTTTAATTATTTAATTATTTTTTATTTTATTTTTATTTTTGCAACATCAAGATAATAAGAAAATTTTTATCCTGACTTAAAGTATGAAACGTATAGAATGTGCAGCCGTTGGGTTTGCCTATTATTTACCTGGACAAACTACTCGGTTGTCAGGTATAAACAAGTATGTCGATGCCAGTTACCTTCACTCGATTAGATAATCGAAAATTTTTTATATCAATATGAGCGTTGTTTTATTGCGAACACAGTGATATAGGGTTGTCTGCAAAAAACTTGGTCCTAATAGGGGTTTGCGAATTTTGAAGAGTTTAATTTTAACGCGAGTGGAAATGTGTGACAGAGAGATCCGAATTGAGTATAGCGTGTAATAATAAAGGACACAACATGGCACAACTGACATTTAAGTTGTAAATAATAATAATTATAATAATATTATAATACTAAAATATTAAACAATAAAACCTCAATTAAATAAATTAATAAATATATATGAATCATTATATATTTAAACAAGTTTTTGTAACTCAAAATATAATGACGTAAATAATACAAATATCAATACTTTGAATTTTTTTTTTCTCTTTCTGGAAAAAATATGAGAAACAAAGTGGACAGCCGAAAATTCAAATTCATGGATAAAAAAAAAGATAGACTAAAAATCTTGTATTACGTTTGAAAATTTTATTAAAAAACAGCATAAATACAAAAATAATATCAATAAAAAATAAATTATAATAAATATTTTCTATTCTATATCTGATTCATCAGAAGTATAATTTTGATTCTCGAATTCATCTGACTCATTATTAGTTTCTTCCTCAATTTCTTCCATTTTGACAATGTCCTGGATTTTCAAAGGAGTTTGATCTCCGATAAAACCAGTTGGTTTTAAAAAATCATCTAAATGCCAACCGTAGCTTTCGGGGTTTAATTTCGCACATATAATTGTTAAAATTAAAATCTTCAAAATTCGCAAACCCCTATTAGGACCAAGTTTTTTGCAGACAACCCTATATCACCGTGTTCGCAATAAAACAACGCTCATATTGATATAAAAACATTTCGATTATCTAATCGAGTGAAGGTAACTGGCATCGACATACCTGTTTATACCTGACAATCGAGTAGTTCGTCCAGGTAAATAATAGGCAACCCAACGGCTACACATTCTATACGTTTCATACTTTAAGTCAGGGTAAAAATTTTCTTATTATCTTGATGTTGCAAAAATAAAAAATAAATAAAAAATAATTAAATAATTAAAAATTGTCTGTCCAGGATTTTTTTAGGCAACCCATTTTCAACATATTTTCTAACATACTAAATTTGTTATAAAATATGATTCATTCTATTATCAGCTCGGTGAAGATCGTTTTTAGTTCGGATCTTAGACTATTAGTAATAATAAAAATTAATGCCGGACAGCTCACTCCGATTATCTAGAATAAAACTGTTACAGGTTTTTGTTATGTTTTAGAGTTAATTATAATGACTTATGTTGTTCATAAAAGAAGCTTAAAGTTTGTGTGGTCTCTCAAAAAAGAGGGTCGATTCGGAATGGATACGGGTTGCTGATTGAGTTACGCACGAAGTGGGGAAAGTGAGGATAGTGGCGCTGGGCTTAGCGCTGCCACCTACCTACACACTGGGTGATCGGCCGCTGTTGATTGTCCTCGGCCCTCGGCCAACCGACAAAAAGTGAGAGCTGTTTTCGACCATTGTTCATTGATTCGGCGGCGGCTGTTCAAAACAACGTAGATAAACTAGAACGTACTTCCCTTTCGTTTAGGACTGTTATCTGTGCAGCAGCGCATTGTTTCTGATAATATTGGCTACTTATGACTGCTATCAAGTCGCCTCTGAGCCGAACGACAACGGCCAGATAGTTGTCACTGTGACTCACACATGTTACAAAGATAGAAGGATAGGCACCGCACTAGCGTGTTAAGTATAATTCCGTTGTTTGGTATTCATGTGTTCGTTCGTTTACATCTTATTGATTTAAAAGAGGAATGTTATTTTCCCCCATGGGTTTAAAATTTTATTTGAATAATTGCATAATGTTTAACTGTAATGCTGTAGTAACTTGAAAGTTTTTCGTGCGTATTTGTTTTCTAATTTTTTTTTCTTTAAGATTAGCATCCGATTCCCTTAGTTTGTTTTAAAATCAGACAAAGTACAAAAGGAAAACGTAGAGATGACACGTCCGCTCTCACATGCACACCAAATAAAAATAAACACCATACATGCCGACTCCGGTTCGGTCGCTCTGACGTCGAACTGATTCCTCACGAATACAACATTATTGTTTAACGCAAAAGGATTGTGATTCAAAAGACTTCCGAAACAAACGTAATTTAGATTTCAAATTTCGTGTTAGGCCGATTTAACAAATTCTTGATTGCACCCTAGTACTAATTTACTTCTCGAAAATATTTTTGGTTATTCCGCGATAGTTAGTTTGTTTAGTAGTTTTTAGAAATATTCGGTTATCAGTGAACAATGTAATAACGATAATGTAATTTTTTGTTATCACGAGCATTTCATTATTAATGTTAACAATATCCTTAGTATGGGCTTCACGTCACACAATGTAATATGACTACATTTTGTTCGACACTTATAATTATAACAATAAACTGGTTGTGTAGATAAGTGTGAGTGCACAGGATCGTATGCGCATGTGTTCGTTCGCATTGCGTTGCGTACACACACCGTACACGATGGCCCTCGTTGACTCAGAGTGATCTCCACAGTTTGTTTTGCAATTGCGAGAGTTGCTCGCCATTTACAGCGTATGCTTAAAGTTCGGGGAACTTACAACATTATGTATTATCTGCTACTCTTTAAATGCTATCTGCCTTTAATAATTCGCCGCTGGTTTTTATTTGGGTTCGACTCACTGTTAATGTCAAAGGGTATTAAGCGGGGCTCAATGTTGATGAATACAATACTGGTTATTTGTATTATAAAATCGTCGTCGTTAATAGTTCGATGCACTTACTTAATTGGTAATTCGGTCTTTGTCAATAATGATCTGCTAAGTAACTATTTCCAAGAATGCAAAAATGAATGGTTAGCGTGTACAAATTAAGTGGACAATATTGCCTGCCAAACCTGTTCCGTTACTGAGACCTTAAAGGAGTTGGTTCTTGGCCTCAAATAGGTCGGTGTACTGTAATCTGCGGTGTTACTGTATAACTAGCTAGATTTTTGATAAAGCTTTGGCAATCAGTGTTAGGAAACTAAACTACGTTCGCTTGAACACCCAACGAATGACGAATTAACAAGAATGTAGAAAAGCTATGTTTATCTGTATCATCAAAGATTTAGGGCAGATTAATAGAGGTTTATAAGTGGTCGGTCAAAATTCGATCTTTTTAGTTCTTCAGTCAAAGGGCATAATTCTATAAACTCAAAATCATGATGCAAAATTTTAAATCCTTAAGTGATAATGTTTGTCCACCTGTAACGTAGTATTCTGAAACCTACAATGTGTTCGTTCGCGCCAAAATTTAAACTATTGGGTATTGTAACGTAGTGTTCTCATATGGGTTAGGAGGGATGTTATCCCAGGAAATTGATAGAACACTACGTTACACACCCCTGAAAAATTTTTTGGACAATATTTATTTATTTATAATGTGGTATTAAAAAATACATACAACCCTAAATTTTCTCTTCTACCTCCTGCCCCTATTTATATGGCGATACGAAGTTCGCTGGGTCAGGTAGTTGTTCTATAAAAGTAAAAAAGCTCCTTTGGGCAAAATGGGCATAAAAGGTATGTAAAAGTTTTCTTTGACGTACTAATTAATATAATCACGATATCCGTGTTTCCACTAACTTATATTTCAAGTTGCGAGGAGTTGTGACTGTGTGTGTTGTCAATCTTGTTGTTCTTTTATCACGTTATCTCACGTCGATTTAGTTATTAGGTTCGTTTAAAAAAATTATAAAGTCAAAGCCGTCTTGCCTCGAGGAGCAAGCGACACAATTTGCAGAGATTTTTGGTTCACTGTGAGACGGGGCATAAGTCAATTGAAACAATGGATGGGCGCGATTGTGATTGCAGCCGACGCGATTAGGATTGATGCCCGAGACAATTCCGATTTGCAAAGAACTTATATTTCGTACTTAGTTTATTTTTAACGTAAACTTCTTTCAATTACGACCGAAGAAACTTATTTTTTTATAGTTCAAAATTAACCTCGTCTTCGCCATTTCTGTCACCCAATCCGTCACGCAAAATCGTGAAGAAATATTTAAAACGCTTAAAAACTACTGTTTGTTATTATTTTATTCTTTTGAAACATACATATAGACCAGGGTCGATAATTTTTGAGACCAAAAAAAATTATAGTAGGATGAAACCCATTGGAAAAGGTAGAGAATATAACAAAAATGAAAGGAAAAATAAATTACGGGCGATCTGAGGTCGGGAAAGGGGAGGGGGTGAGTTTTTAAGGGTAAACAAAAATGATGTGGTGTCGTGGGTCACCAGGTAGGAACGAAGTTCCTTCGGCTAATGTAGAATCGACACAAATTGAAAACTCGCTTGTGTATGCGACTGTCGCGCCTGCGCACGTCTCATTTAACGGTTTTATTCCACGCACTTTTTTCCACGGATTTTTTCTTACGGT